GAGGAGTCCTAGAGATTTTAGCAGTCCCACGGCATTTCCCAAAATACTAGATTATCCAGATAATCTTGCCAATCTAAGCAGCTGAACCCCTTGCTTCATATTCAGACCCTGAATCTCTTTTCATAATGCCTATTCTATTTCATAGGGACCCTTTAAACAGCAACCACTTAAAACAATTTTCTTTAAAGCAATTTAAACATGTAATTATAATGCTTAGTTCTTATAATCCTTATATAAAGATGGCACTTTTCACAATTTAATTCAACAACTTACATTACTAAATGGAAATTAAGTATTTTAATACTATTTTTATAAACTGAATAACTAACTCATTAATCTTCACAGCCCGCTGCAAGGAAGTATTACTGTCACCATAGTTCAAATGGCGAAATGGAGGCTAAGAAGTTAAATGACTTTGCCAAGGCCACAGCCACTTAGACCCGGCTGTAAAAATTTTTACCAGACACCTAATGAACCAAATGATGACCAAAAAAAGAGAGAATTCCATATGAGCAAGGCCCTGGGGCAATGCTCTTGTGAGAAGTCTGGCCTTCCCTACCCCAGCTGCTGTGAAGTGGGAATGTGCTGTCATTGGATGCTGCTAAGGGAGCTGCACCTTTCCCCCGGCCCCCCTCCAGCCAGCTTCTAACTAGCAAGTGTCTGACAAAGCTGATACATGACAACATGCTGTTCAGCTGCTAAAAGGAGGGCTCTTCCACCACCCGTTCCAAATCGCCTACACCCAAGGACCTTCTTTCGTTTGGCTGATGAGCGTGAGAGGGAATTCTCTCCCCTTCAGCTGTGTGAGAGCGCATACGTGTTCTTCAAAACCAAGATACTTTCCAAGGGACATTCATTACATGCTCAATAAATCCTCAGAGGTCCAATGCCCATCTCAGAAATATTGCATGTATTGTAAATGCATGAAATAGTTCAAAAATTATCTGGATCTGTAACTAGCCTAACTCTATAAATAATATGTTTTGACAACTGTAAAAAACATGACATTTCCTTCAAACCAACCTGGAGGGTTAAAGATGACAATATCGTCTAAGAGCTTTGACATTTCTTGTTCCAATACCGAAAGAGTTATTTTTCCATTTTGTTCCAGGGTGATGAGAAACTGAACCACCTGGTGAATGTATGCTTGGCATTTTAGTGTTGCATCCTATTAAAATTTAAAAGAGTTGGCACACTTAGCTCTATTCTCATGGACCAGATGACCACATGACTCATCACAACCTCAACAAGACAACTAGAAGATGATCAAGAACAGTCCAGAGGAACTGCCAGTCATACTTACAAGATGTACATGACTATCGGAAGAAGCACCAAAGCCTGCAGAAACTTTTAAGAGTTTCACTATCTGTTCAGCTGCAGAATCCTTGGCTAAGATGATGGAAGGAGGATAGTGGCTGCTAAAGTAGCTGATGATGCTTTGATAAGATGCAATGCGCACAAGTTGCCACGGAAGAGAGCAGGTCTGTCCAAGAAGGTTAATCAATGGCGATTCCTGAAGTTAAAAAAAACCAAATTACTTTTTAAATTCCTTTCTATGAACACTCACAATACTAAATATTGGAAACTAATGGAGAGATCAATCCACAATGTTTAGATTAGAGATGCAGAGTGTAATAAAAAATCCACCGAACAGCTGACTGCTAGCAGTGTGGCTTTAATAGTTCATTGTACTAAAATAATACTCATTGTATTTGTACGTACTATTGTATTACAGTGGCATCTGAAAGCCCCAACCAAAATTAGCAGGCCAATGTGTTGGCACAATAACATGAACAGAGCTTCAATCTAAACACATAGGAAACTGTAAGAGGGCAAATGGACCAACAGAGACATGACCTGACTTCCCTAAGGTCACACCAGTCAGATAACATATGTCAGTGACAGAGGCGGGAACAGAACCCAGGTGTCCCATCATTTGGTCTCTCACACACACACACACTCTCTCTCTCTCAAGCTCTCTCTCTCTCAACTTCTTCCCTCCTCCCACCTATGAAATTCCAAAAACGTTCCACTCCAAGAAAGCTGCAGCCACAAAGATTCTCCTAATACAATGGAACTTTCCAAAGTTAGTTCATTGCGAATTTACTTATAAATCAGAATGATTGAATATTCCTAGGTTTCTCAATTGCAGTTAACTCAGTACAATCTAATACCCTAATGACCTGGAAATAACCCAAATGAAATCAGATGGACAAGAATGTTACAATTATAATTTTAATACAGATCTAACAATTCAGACATGTTGGGTCCATTTTAGGACACTCTCAGGAACAAAGGACTCAAATCAGAACTTGTCATTCAGGTAAAGAAGTCACACGAAAGTTCTAAGGGGAGAAAATAGTTCAGATGCTAATGAACCTTACTCTAATGGGTTTTACACCGAGTCCCCTGGAGGTGGGAGGAAAAGCTTTTTGGGGGTGTCACACATTATACACAAGTGTATCTCAATCCATGAAAGGATCTTCCCGCTTATCTAAACTGGTTAAGCGACAGGGAACGAAGGGTAGGAATAAATGGTAAATTTTCAAAATGGAGAGGGGTAACCAGCGGTGTTCCCCAAGGGTCAGTCCTAGGACCAATCCTATTCAACTTATTCATAAATGATCTGGAGAAAGGGGTAAACAGCGAGGTGGCAAAGTTTGCAGACGATACTAAACTGCTCAAGATAGTTAAGACCAAAGCAGACTGTGAAGAACTTCAAAAAGATCTCACAAAACTAAGTGACTGGGCAACAAAATGGCAAATGAAATTTAATGTGGATAAACGTAAAGTAATGCACATTGGAAAAAATAACCCCAACTCTACATACAATAAGATGGGGGCTAAATTAGCTACAACTACTCAGGAGCAAGATCTTGGAGTCATAGTGGATAGTTCTCTGACGACAGGTGGAATAAGCTCAGCCAGAGGCAGCTGGTTACAAAAATATTCAGATGGTGCTGCAATCTCTGCCCAATGAGGAGCCACAGCCAATGTCAAGCTGGCACAGAGACGAATCAGGCCTCGGGAACGCTGTATCACCCTGACCTGTTGCTATAGTTACATAGCCTCTCCATGTGTATGTTCAGAAGGGAAGGGAGAGTTTTATGGTAAGAAATAAATGTTTGCAGAAGCAGCTATACGGAGAAGGCTATACATAATATTCCAGGAAATGTAAAGAATGCTGATGACTGATTCAATTTGCTTATGTCATGCTATAAAAGTACAGAATCAGAGTGTATCTGGGTTTAAACAGGATGCTGATTGTTTTATGCTCCTTGGCAATTATGTCTGGGTTCCTGCACCACAGGTTTAGGTCTTTGCTTAATACTGTTCTCCAGTTTTGAACAGCCCTAGGCTGACCAGGGATAGATGCAGATGTGGGCAGCAGCAGTTCAAGCTAATTGTACTTAAAAATCATACAGGAAAATGAAAAGAGCTCCTATAGATTTTTACATGGGGGAGAAGGGCAGCCTCTCTAGGAAGAGCCTTCCATGGCTATTAGGGAAGGATCACCTGGAGGAGTGAGATAAAGAATCAGTGGTGGGGACAGGTATGTTTAGGGGGAGGGATAGCTCAGTGGTTTGAGCATTGGCCTGCTAAACCCAACGTTGTGAGTTCAATCCTTGAGGGGGCCATTTAGGGATCTGGGGCAAAAATTGGGGGTTGGTCCTGCTTTGAGCAGGGGGTTGGACTAGATGATCTCCTGAGGTCCCTTCCAACCCTGATAGTCTGAGTTTATTTGGTTTTTTACAACCCCTAAAAGGTCACTGGAGGCTCAGTTGCAGCTAGATCACTGCTTCTTACAACCACTTCCTATGCCAGGACAACTTCCCCTTAAGCAATACACAAAACATTACTATGCTTTCAAATCTCTTAGCTGTACTCCAGGGAGGGCTGTTTATTACATTTAGGAGTAGCACATGTCTGTTAATCATTCCCTGCTTGAGAAAATACAGCAGCCTGCTTCCTTGTAGAGGGCTGACTCCTCATTAGAAAGGCCTGGAACCAGATATATCTATCTGGATTCATCTAACATGTCTCCCCTCTCCCCCAAGCTCTGGATGCATTTACATTAAAAAACTGTAAAATTCAATTCACAGAGAGGTTATCATGCCACATGCAACACAGTATAGAAGTCCAGTCTGAATTAAACTGAAACAACATAGCTAAGGGTATTTTCAGTCCTTATTCTCACAGAAAGGCCCTAACCAGTGAAATGCTCTTATTTACAGGGGCCATGGGGAGCAGGGTGAAGCAATAATTTTATTTAATACACCAGGGTAAGTCAGGCTCTTCACATGAAGATGTCCCACTGTGGGCACTGGAAAGCTACCTCAAAAGAGAGAAGTGATCCAGTGGTTAGGGCACTGGGCTGGGACTTGGGTAACCTGGCTACAAGTCCCTGTTCCACTAAACACTTCCTATGTGATCTTTGTGCCTCAGTTGCCCATCTGTAAAATGGGCATAATAGCACTTCCCTGCGTTTTGAAAGGACATTATGCTAAAGGGAACCATATATATGTTAAAAGAAAAGGAGGACTTGGGGCACCTTAGAGACTAACAAATTTATTTGAGCATAAGCTTTCGTGATCTACAGCTCACTTCATCCGATGCATTCCATATATATCTGTTGTGACAGTGACAGACCAGATGCCGGCTCAGGTCAGAGCCAGGTTAATTCGCTTGTGTATTAGCATAGATCAAAGTGATTGTTAAATGTATGAATGTATTTGGTGTTTAAACATAATGAAAATGAATGGATCGTTACTTGCATAGTTTTCAATCATTTGTGTCCTGTTATAATGTAATAGCAAACATTTACATAACATATACACCTGTAACTAAGGCCATGTGAAAAGCAAATGAAGAGCTTTATCATCAGAAAAAAGACTAATTTCAAAGCACATGGTCAGTGTGTGTGATGGCCTGAGGTCAAATAGACTCAAAATGCATTCCTCACTGCCCATCAACTTGGAGTCGGCAAAGGGCACCGAGCGGCAGGAGAGCACGCGGCAAGACCATCAACCATGGTAGGACATGACTCTGGAACACAGCACAAGTTCACTGGTATTCAGAAATACTTCAGTTCCTACACCACAACAGGCAGAAGGAATTATGTAATAGCTACATATGCAAGCATTGCCATGATCATCTTATATTTCAAGCAAAAGCCTAAAAAACAAACTCCAGCAGTGACGGAAAAATAGTGGTTGTTGGCATGTGTGTTAGTGTTGGACCTCATATTGCAAAGGAAACAGGAGTTGATGTACTATTATGTACAATTCAACAAAACAAAACATCAAAGGAAAAGCCCACATTGGGTAGCATCACTGTAAGCTTGCTGTCTGTGAGAAGAAGCTGTAAGTCTGGATTCAAGGAAAGCTCCTTCATCTCTGGACTGTTTGGACTCTTACAGGGAAGTGTACCAGATGCAAAAGTAGAGATCCCTAGAAGTCACCTGGGTACCCTGAAGAGACTTTTGGGAAACTGGCAGTTTATTACATCATTGCTACCATTTGGAATTACTCAATGTACTTATATTTTACCTGTTTTAACCTTTTAATAACTCTCATTTCCTTTTCTTAGCTAATAAAACTGTACTTAGTTTACTATAGAAATTGGCTACCAGCATTGTCTTTGGTGTAAGATCTAGAGTACCAATTGATCTGGACTGTCCCTTGGGACTGGGAGCAACCTGATGTGGTGTGATTTTTGGTCTGAGTGAACTTTTATCACAAAGTTCAGTTTGTCTCAGTGGCAAGACAGACTGGACAGTCTGAATGGACTGTCTGTGACTCCATGGAAAGACTAGTGTAGTAATCCAGGAGTTCCCATTTGTCAGTGGGTTGTGGTGAAATCTAATTATAGAAAACACCAGCAGTTTGGGCTGTCTGTCCTCTTTTTTGACAGTTTACCCTGAGACAGGCACTCACAGCTGAGAGCCACTCCAGACAGCGTGACATACATATCTAAGATAGACAGACCCAATGGATCCAGGTTTGGACATAGTTCATGGAATTTCTTTTACCAGTGTGCTGCAGCTCAGGCAGGCCTTAGATATGGTACACTTGCTTGCCTGATAATGGCAAACAACATAGAGATTAATGGATGCAAGGTATATTTCTGTAAACCTGACGGACCACTCTGTCAACAGCCTATCAGACACATTGACTGGCCTCAACCATTAATATAGTGGCTTCTAATTGCCATCTCCACATATGTCATCTGCATAGGTCCCCGTAAGCACACAGAAATCTTAGCATTCTAAGCTTTGTTTACGTTTGTGACAAACCCAAGGCAATCTGATCCATCTCTGAACCTTTTCAAAATTACCTCTTTGCTTATAAGCTGCTCCTCCTTTGCCAACAGGACTACCATATAGAGCAAGCAGACAATCATGTGGTGTGTTTCAGGATGGGGCTTGGGATTCCAGGCATCAGACAGGACGCTGACCCAGTTTACATCACATAAAACAGAACCCAAGAAAATGAAACAACTCTTTGGGCTGCCTCTTTCAACCTAGGAGAAAAGAGACAGGCACCTTTATTTATTTAGATTTAAATAACTAAAAAGACACTGTCCATAGCTTTAGGCACCCTAGCATCATTAATAAAGCAATTCAATCTCCGCAGCTTTAAATAATCCATTCAACAGGACCTCAAATCAGCCAGTCATCTACTAGAATTCCCTTCTACCCCTTCATCATAAAGGAAGCATAACCTTCAGCCCTCCCAAAACCCCAGTCAAAGAAATGTCTTTCGCAGTAGACTAAATTCAGACCATTTCAAATGCAGGGGCAATATTCAGGCTATTGTGGACTTTCAGTTGAAAAACTGCAACTGGCTTTTCTCTCTTTGGGGAAGACCGAAAAATTCTGTAACAATTTTAGACGTGCATGGACAATGCAACACCAACAGGAAGGCAGTAAAGGCCTTGGGGGAAAGATTCTGGAGTTCCACTTCTATACGTACCACAATTTTAGGGTGCAAATCAGAAGCAGTCAACTAGAAAATGGAAGTACGGTGATCATCATTTTAGTTAGCAAAAAACTGGTTTATAATTCACTGATTGATACTTCACACATTGTCTCTATATTGATACGTATTTTCCAAAAAGTCATGTTAATTATGCATTATAAACCCAAAGTGATTGAGAAGTCAATTTTTTGGGAAAGGTTCAGTACATTACCAAAATAAACACTAATTTGATTAATATTCTCTCTCAAGCTCACTACTTGTCTAGAAATTCATTTATAAGCTGTCCTCGGCGCAAATGCCTGAAAGCCTAGAGCCAAGCTGACAAAATCATTCTTAGAAAGTTTAATACCTCACTGCATGGTGACAATGGCTAGGCAGCTGGTATGCTGTGGCCACTGCCCATCATGCTGCCATGGAAGAACTGGGCTCAATTGCTGATCGACCAAGCACATCCTGTGACACTTTGTGCAAGTCACTATGTTTTACAGTTTCCCATCTGTAAAATGGGGATAATAGCACTGCCCTACCTCACCAGGAGGTTGAGGATAAGAACATAAGAACAGCCATACTGGCTCAGACCAAGTATCGTGTATTCCAGCAGTGGCCAATGCCAAGCGCCCCAGAGGGAGTGAACAGAACAGGTAATCAACAAGTGATCCATCCCCTGTCTCCCATTCCCAGCTTCCGGCAAACAGAAGCTAGGAACATCAACCCTGCCCATCCTGGCTAATAGCCACTGATGGACCTATCCTCCATGAATTTATCTAGTTCTTTTTTCAACCTTGTTATAGTCTTGGCCTTCACAACATCCTCTGGCAAGGAATTCTACAGGTTGACTGTGTGTTGTGTGAAAAAATACTTCCTTTTGTTTGCTTTAAACCTGCTGCCTATTAATTTCACTTGGTGAAGCCTAGTTCTTGTGTTATGAGAAGGAGTAAATAACACTTCCTTATTTACTTCCTCCACATCAGTCATGATTTTATAGACCTCTATCATATACCCTCTTAGTCATCTCTTTTCCAAGCTGAAAAGTCCCAGTCTTATTAATCTCTCCTCATATGGTAGCTGTTCCATACCCGTAAACATTTTTGTTGCCCTTTTCTGAACCTTTTCCCATTTCAATAATCTTTTCTGAGATGGAGTGACCACATCTGCACACACTATTCAAGATGTGGGAGTACCATGGATTGATATAGAGGCAATATGATATTTTCTCGGTCCTATTATCTATCCCTTTCTTAATGATTCCCAACATTCTGTTCACTTTTTTGACTAACGCTGCACACTGAGTGGATGTTTTCAGACTGTGATGCTCAGATACCATAAGTTCAGATAGTACCACTGAGGGCCATACATCAATGTAACTGAATCCCACAGCAGTAGTATTGTACTGATAAATTATTATAGTATTAATAATTATAAATAATATATTGTAAACCCTCAGATTCTACAATAAACCTAATTGATGTACTCTGGCTAAATAAACTGCAACAGACATCCATTTAATTTCAAAGACGGAATTAACTAAAGTATAAATGGTCTTATTTCAATACGCATTAGGTGCTTACTTTAAAGAATTCTTCCATGAGCATCTGATCTGGGTGCATCTCTCTCCATGGAAGTCTGCTGAATTCAGCATGGAAAGTATAGAGAATGAATTCTGGCATTTTGGGGCCTGTGCATGAGTCACAATAATGCATCAGATGTAACCAGAGAGCCCCGTGGTAGCCTGGCAACAACTTATCTAGATTAAAAGGAAACAGCCCATTTAAAACACAACTCTAGGGAAACCTAGCCAAACATGGACAAATCTGACTATAAAGGGGACACACACACACACACACACTCACTCTACAAGTTCTTCCATGGACATAACATTCAAAGAAAAAGGACAATTTTCTAAGCTTTGTTTATTTCAATCTATCACTCAGGTGCTTCTTCTCCTGAACATCGCTCACTCTGAAAAACTTAATTGGACAATAAGGGTTGTGATCAGGGATCCTAGAAATCCATGTTTTTCCGTGGCAAAAGGAATTTGCATTGTTAAAAAGAATCTTTAGTTTTTACATTTTGTGAACAAATAAAACCAATTAACTATTAACTAAATTTTACTGAAAGTACCAGTGTCACTTATTCAATGCGCACAACCTCCCCCTCTTGGGGTTGATTTTTGAATGCACTTTAAATTTACATAGCTAAACATACTCCAATAAACTGCTTCAGGCATATAGAGGTTACTCAATGGTATGTAGGGGTTTGTGTTTTAATGCATCTCAAACTTCACTTCAGCCTCCAGATGCGAGTAATTAAAGTTATGAAAAAAATGCCCAAAACTTTAAAAAAAAAAATCATCCCCTAAAGACCACGTCACTGAGCTTGGCAAGGAGAAATTTCATGTGGATGGTAATGTGCTGTTCTGAACTGCATGCAGCAAGGCTGTAGGTTACATTCAAAGGCAGACAGTTGTAGAACACATGGAAAGCGCTAAACTGAATGAAAAGAAACAAAAACAAGAAGCTGAAACAGCAGGGCCATCAACAGTAAAGAAACAATGCACTGTGAGTGGAACATTCCAACGTTTTACAACTGAAATATATCAATCAAACATCGTGTTCTACTGATCCCTAGCCACAATATATATAGGTAACTATACATATTGTGGCTAGGGAAACTAAAGTTCAGCATTTCATTTTAATTGCAGAAAAACACAGATTTTTATGTTTTTCTTCTTGGGAAACTTTGGGTTTTTATCATGGAAAACTAGGATCCCTGCTTATAAACCACTTCTTTCTGTAAGTTGTGAACTCATTCTGTGCATCCTTTCAAAACTGTTAAAGAATTTGGAAACCATCAAAGACATCACAACATATTTTTGCTTCATATCTATTGTCACCAGTCTGAGCTCAGCGCAGCCACCCCAAGTTATTACCGTGTGATGGCTGTTTAGTGGCCTATGTAGTATGAATTAGTGGGGACAGTTCCATTGCTGGTGGATAAGCATTTACATGTACATAAAAACCACCATGACAAATGGCAACACCGTTTGCAATCTCAACAGCCACGTCTAAGAATGGATGAGCCTGGAGATTAGGTTGCCCCTCCAGGTCAGGGGTTGAGACACATTAGCAGGCTAATGACAGGAAGGTTACAGTCCGGGCAGTAGCAGTACATGGGCACTGTTGATAAATGGAGGAGGCAAGTATTCAGGATGGTCAGTCAGGCACCCTCCATCAGCAGAAGTTACACACAAAGTTTTGAAACAAACAAAACCCCTATTTTGCCTAGAGCTGTTGCCATCTATTCTGTGGCTATGTAATTGGGATATCCTTGTAA